ATAGATGAAAATAACCTATATAAAACATATTTAATCCCATTTTAAATGTACATATTCCTAAACTTATAATATCTTATTTTTGCAGTTTATATGTATATATTTGAAATCCAATATACTTAGAAATACTTATTTTTTTCTGCTCACATTTAATAACATTATTCTACTCAAACTGTATTTACTTTGGATAGCCATATCTTAAATATTCTGAGCCTGTTCTTTTAATTAAATAACATCATTTTACCAGGCATATATTCTTTGCTTTCAAATAAGTAGTTTGTGATACAATATTTCTGGAATATGTCTATGGCATACTATTATTGGGAATTTTGTTCTAAGCTACAAGAAACTTTTTTATATAATATTAAGATAACCACTTCCCATCCCACTCATCCTATAAGGGTGCATTGTGATTTCCACAACCTAACTACTTACTGTAAATTGTTTAAAAACAAGAACCTGGCCGGGTGCTGTGGCTCATTGGTACTTTGGGAGGCCGAGGTGGGTCATTTGACGATCATTTGAGGTCAGGAGTTCAGGACCAGCCTGGCCAATATTGCAAAAACCTGTCTATACTAAAAATACAAAAATTAGCCAGGCACTATGGCACATGCCTATAGCCCCAGCTACTTGGAAGGTTGAGGCAGGAGAATCACTTGAATTTGGGAGGTAGATGTTGCAGTGAGCTGAGATTGTGCCAATGCATTCTAGCCTGGGTGACAGAGTGAGACTCCAGCTCAAAAAAAAAAGAAAAAAAAAAAGCCGGGCATGGTGGCTCACGCCTGTAATCCCAGCACTTTGGAGGCTGAGGTGGATGGATCACGAGGTCAGAAGTTTAAGACCAGCCCGGCCAAAATAGTGAAACCTCATCTCTACTAAAAATATAAAAAAATTAGCTAAGCACAGTGGCAGGCACCTGTAATTCTAGCTACTCTGGAGGCTGAGGCAGAAGAATTGCTTGAACCTGGGCAGCAGGTTGCAGTGAGCCGAGATTGTGCCACTGTACTCCAGCCTGGGTGATAGAGTGAGACTCTGTCTCAAAAAAAAAAAAAAAAAAGGTATTTAAAAAAAGAAAAAAAAAAAAAAAAAAAAAAAAAAAAAAAAAATTAGCCTGCCGTGGTGACACACTCCACTTGAACCCAGGAGCCGCAGGTTGCAGTGAGCCGAGATTGTGCCACTG